GAAGTAAAAAGACTTTACTTTGGTCCATTTAATTTAACCAGATCTGGGCTTCCTCTGCATTTATTCACTAAGTTGCTCACAAAGAAAGATGTGCAAGGATGTGAAAAGGAAGGACATAAAAAGCCATGATATTAGTTTTAATATTCTTTTAAAAACATCATTTGCCCAACAAAAGTGATAATAGCTGCTTTAATCTGAATTAGTAATAGAAGGGTGGATATCAACTTGAACTCAAGGATGTGTTTTCAAGGAAATAAAACAATCTCAAAAAAATCCAAATCTTAATTGATTGGTTAAATCAATGTAGGCAATTTTAGCCTGAAAATCAGCCCTGCCCTTGGTTCTGTATACAGCTTATTTCACCTCTCTGGGTCTCAGATGGTAAAATGATGGGTTAATCTGATTATCTCCAATGTTGTTCTAACTCTGAGGTTCAATTACCTTAACCAGACTCATTAGTTAACTTATATAGCAGTTTCTTTATTTGGCTCTACTCCATACTTAGGAGAATGAAGTATTCTTAACAAGATACTGAGGAGTTTTACAAAATATGTTATTAAGTCATAACAATAATTAAATGCCTAAAACTTGGGAAATAAAGGAAAAAGAATCATTATACTTCTCCCACTGTAATATGTCATTGTTTTGGCATGTTTTCTTCCATTATTATTATTTTTTTGTCTGGATATTTACATGTATATACTTTTTCCACTTATCAGAAGCATATTCCTTGATGTTATTTATAATTCTTATTTTAAATGACTACATGATGAGTAGATGTGTGAAATACGTAAATACTCTCCTATTGTAAGATATTTAGGTTGTCAATTTTTTGATAGCATTGAAATTAAAACCTGTCAATGTAACTTTTCCTATATTTTGGATTATTCTCACTAATGGGAATCCTGTATCAAAGGGTATGAACATTTTTATGACTCTTATCACACATTGCCATAGTTTATTTTAGTTAGCATCTGTGATTTTGCTGTGCAGCATTCTTTCACCTTCCTCTGTTAACATTACACTAATTTTCCTAAGGGAAATCAAGCCTACCCTCACACTCACTCTATGTGCTTTGGGAATAATTGACTTTATTCCTATCCCGTTTCCTTCCGTTTCCCAGAGAGTAACATGTGGTCAGGCCTGGCAAATCGGGGCCATACATTCCCCTGGCCATAGTTCAGGGATGGGTATGTGACCCAGATAGAGCCAAAAGCAACAGAGCAAGAAGACTATTGATAAGACTTTTGGAAGAAGTGGCATGTGCTCTTTTCTGCTCAGGCTGTAAGCAGGGAGGATAATAAAAGCCTGAAACTGCTGAGAGTCAAAACATGAAACCTGAGAATGAAGCCAACACAGTAGAAGACAGAGCTGAGGGATGGAGAAAAACTAAGACTGGCCCTATTTGAATCTCTGGATTCAGTAATGCCTGAAGCTAGAACTACCCCAGGACTTATTTTCAAGTAAAGGGAACCCAAATTTTCCATTGTTCCTTAAACCATTCATTCATTCATTCATTCATCATTTGTTACACACACATGTACACACACATACACACAAACCCTTAACTATTATAAGTTTTTTTGTTTTAATCCTTTTTACTTATTTTTTTAATTCATAAACTTTGTTTTTTGAGCAGTTTTATGTTCACAGCAAAACTGAGTAGAAAGTTCCCATATGCCCCTGCTCCTCACCACTCCAACACTCCACACACACAAACTATCAACATCCCACACCAAAGTGGTACATTAGTTACAGTGAATAAAACTGCATTGAAATATCATCACCCAAAGTCCATAGGTTACATTAGGGTGCACTCTTGTACATTCCATAGGTTTTGACAAACATGCAGTGACATGTATCCACCACTGTAGTGCCTTTTTACTTTTTATTGAGGTATAACCTACATAAAGGACACAATTTTACATGTACAGACTTTTACATATGCCTGTCTCTTCACTTAATCTCTACCCAGATCAAGATTATAGAACATTTATAGCACCCTGGTAAGGTCCTACATGCTCCATCCAAACAGTTACTCTCTAAAAGTCTTTACTATTCGGACTCGTATGACTATAGTTTTTGACTGCTTTTGAACTTCATTTGAATGGAATCTCACAGTATGACAGCAACTTCTTAGCCTCTCAGCAGCCCAAGCCTACTGTCATAACAAGAAGAGACTTGGGGGTTTTAGGGAATGAGTGTGTTTTGAATGTGAGAGGGGTATAGTTGTGGACAGAGGACTGACTGTGGTGGATGTTTTCCAAAAATGGCCACAGCAATATTTCTAGTGCCATGATTTTTCAGAACTCTACCACTCTTCCATCAAGAAATGGAATCTATTTCCCTTTCCCTTGAACCTGGGTGGGCTTGACTGTTCTAATCCAGAGTATGGAAGAAAATAATGCTATGACTTCCACAGTTTGATTATAAAAATAATATAGGTTCCTCTTGTCTCTTTCTCTCTAGTCACTTGCCCTTGGAATCTGGCCACATGTTGTAAGGAAGCCATGCTACATGGAGATGTTACATACAGATGTTCCCACTGATAATCCCAGCAAAGATTCCAGGCAACACCCAATATCAACTGCCGGTCACATGAATAAATAAACCCTCAGATGATTCCAGATCTTAGCCTTTAAGCTGCCCCAGCTGGTGCCTGGAGTAGAGATGAACTGTCTCCACTAAGCCCTACCAAAATTGGAGATTCGTGAGCAAAAAAAATTGTTTAAGCCACAGCAACAGTTTATCATGCAACCATATAACCAGAACTCCAAAATATCTGTGGTTCTTGGGAAGAGTCTTCTGGTAATATATGACATGAAACAAATTATTTTTCTCTGTAGACTTTCGTTTCCCCAACTATAAAATGGAATAATAATTACTATGTCATGGGAATGTTGTGAGGTTTAAATAACGCACATGAGGTGTCCTTTTTATAATGGGACTTCAAAAAATTATACCTAATATTATTTCAACTAATTTCTATCAAGTTTTTCTAGATTTATTGCTTTTTAGACACACAAATATAAAACCTGATTTTGTGTACACACACACAGACTTGCTTTGAGGAAAGCCAGCTACCATGTCCTAGTGAAGATGCTCAGATAGTCTTATAGAGAGATCTACACAGTGGGAAACAGACCTCTTGCCTAACTTGCTAACCATGTGCGTGAGCTACCTTGGAAGCTGATCCTCCATCTCCAGTCAGCCTTCAGACTGCAGCTGACATCATGACTGCAATCTCTTAAGAGATTCTAAGCCAGATGACTCAGCTAAGCCACTCTCGATTCCCACAGAAACTGCAAATAATGTATGAAATAAAATTTTTAAAATTATTCTTTTAAGTCACTATGATTTGGGATAATTATGCACTAATAGTTAATAGATATATCAACATGGGAAGGGATGTAGGGGAGATCTGATTCAAGGTTTTGGGCTGTTTTAAGATCTATGTGAAGGACAGTGGTGGTTGAATGAACTTAGAAGTGCTGATAAGATTGAGTCCAAAATAAAGCCAGAGAACAGACTTGGAAGTGAGGCTGTAAACTGCATGCAGATTTCACTGAAGTTGAAGAGCAGGTTTGGTGAGGATAAAGGAATAAGAGATCTGGAATTAAAAAAAAAGTTTTGTTCAGAATGTAGAATACCTTGGTTACCGGTTTCAGAGGTAGAACAGTTCTGGAGAACAAAATACAGGACTTAGTCACAGAAGTGGGTGCTCGAGTGGCAGTGCTTGGGAAAGGTTTGTATACCTACCTCTCTTGTGAGTACAAAGGCAAAGTGGACAGGGGAGCAACCTAAGCTGCTAATAGCAGACTGTTAAAAATCTTCATCCTAAAATTATTTTATCCCTAGAGTAATGGAATAAGAGTGGAATGAAGTTTGCATGGCTTGATGGTGAAAGCCTCAATGTAGGAGTAGTTAGTCTGAAAGTTGTAGTGACAAGTTAGGAGAATGCCAGCCTTTACTTGGTGGTTTAAGATACTGAAGATGTAGGGATAAGGGAGAACTCTATATGAAGAGCTTCAAGGGAAGCAATGAACTTAAGGAAAATGTCAGATTTTAGACAAGATAAAGAGAGGACAGAAGTGCTCTAAGAGAAGGTTAGCTGTGTAAGGAAGTTTCTTTGCATTTGCATGGGTTTGCTTATAAAAAAAATAAGCTGGAACTTTATTGTTGGCAACTGGGAGCCACCGGAAAGTTTTACACAGGAGACTGACATGTTGAGCTTTAAACCTTAGAAAGCTCATCCTGACAGCATGGGCAGTACAGTGGATGTACTGGGCAAGGAGTGCACAGAGGTTCCTTTGGAAGAAAAGGGTTGGTAAAAAAGGTCCATTCCACACAGGTAATGAGGCCTCATCATCAGCCCACCAAAACAATGGGGTCAGCTGTTTAGGAAGTAGAGACTACAGAATTTAATAGACAGTGAGGGAAAGGAGTAAAAGCAGTGGCCAGATCTTTCACCCCCTTTCCGAAGCTCTTCTAGCACTTCTGATCTTCCATTGAGCTTAGGTATGTGATTGCCAGTTATCTGGTTTTACTTTCATTCTCTTTCCTATCCCCCAAATCCACTCATCTTGATTTATTTGATATTCTACTTGTTTTTTGGTCTTGCTATTCCTATTTTTAGTACACACCTTGGCTATACCAGTATGGTAATAACACTTTCTGAAGGTAAGAATCTAAGGGCAATGTGGTACAGTGGAACAAGCAGCAGCCTATGAGTCAAAAGCATTGGTTTTCAGTCCCAGTTAACTCATTTGACTTCTTTGGAACTCAGTTTTCTTCATTTAGAAAATGAATCTCTAAGGTCTTATCCATTTCAAATTTGTCTACCTGTACAATATGATAGAACCTTAACAGATATTTTCATGACAATGGTGAAATCTACTTTCTCTAATATAGTACTACAAAATTAGAATGGTAAATGGTACACATCTTGAAGTTTGTTTCAAGAAACCTGCTTACTCAATAGAGTAATAAAGTTTGAGAGAGGTACTATGCTCTAATAAACTTTCCCAGACTAGAGGTAGTTATGTCTAATAGGATAATAAGTCTTAGTTTTTTTTCTTTGGAAGTAGAGGGTGGCTTTCATTTTATTCACCACACATTTCCTGAAGTCAAAGTGCCTTCATCTGAAATCATGGCTCTGCTACTTACTAGTTTATTTTGGGCAAACTACTTAACCTCTTTGCGCCTTAGTTTCTTCATCCATAAAATGGGAATAATACTGTTACCTCATAAAGCTAATGTGGCGATTAAACAAGATAATGTATGTAATAACAGTTAAAATAGAGAAAACTCTGGATAAGAATTAGCTATTATCTTTATGTGCTAGGCACTAGAGTACAAAGACCTGGCTTCTCTCCTTAAAACCTCATTGTCTAGTCAGGAAGATTTTTTCAATGACCATTATAAGGGCTCATTGTCTGGTCAGGATGATTTTCAAACAACCAGAATTCAGTGTTCTGAGCTCTGTAATATGATGTGTAGTAAGAGGTGAGAATGCTTGTCTCATCCTAGAGGTAAAGGTAGGGGCAGGATAAGCTTCCTCAGGGTAAAGTTTGAGTCTGATCCTTAATGAAGAGAATTTAATGTTGGGAACATCTAGGAATATGGAGCAGTCAGAGGCAGCAAGTAGAAGGCAGCTTCTGACTACAAATGACAGATATGGCTAGGAAGAAAGGAGGATGTGGTACATTAGTAGTAGTTGATGCCAGAAAATCAACATCACTTGAAAGCTTGTTAGAAATATAGAATCTTAGGCCCTATCCAGACTTAATCTAAATTTGCTTTTTAACAAGATCTTCAAACAGTTCTTAATGAACATTAGAGTTTGAGAACCACTGGTCTAGAGTAGACGCTAGACCAAGGTGCTTTGGTTTAAATACTGGCTTTACCATTTACGTATAACGTGTGACTTTAGGCAAGCTATTTAACTTCCTTCCTATGACTCAATTTGTAATTAGGAAATAGTTTCTATTGAATAGTTTCTAGGAAATAGTTCTTGAAACAACCTCATAAAGTTGTTTCAAGGACTAAATGAATATATGAAATGCTTGGAACAGTACTGGCACTTAGTAAGCACAATTATCAGTTATAATAATTGACTCACATGCTACTTATTATGGTCAGGATCAGTTTTATAAGCACTTTGTCTTTCCATATCTACTCAATTACCTGTCACCTTGACATGACACTTTAAAGTCAGAAGACCTGGGGTTATAAAGGCCAGTCCCTTTCAACTCCTAGCTTTGTGAAATTGAGTAAGTTCTTGAATATCTGTGTTTTTCTCATTCTTAGTAGGGGGAAATCTTAATAATTGCTTCACTGAGCTGCTGTGAGGGTCAAATCAAAGAATAAATGTTAAACTATAAAAATCTTCTATTAAAGTTTCAGTTGCCATCTTTCCAAGAGTTCTTAAGTAACTGGCCTGAAAACAGATGGTAGAGAAAGCATTGGAAGGTCAGGGAGGGAGAGCCTGTCTATTACTTGTCCACCTTCATGACTTTCTGAAGGGGCGTGCCGGCTTTGGTTTTTACAGTAACAATTTTCCTGGACCTCGGAAAGTACTTTTAGCTAATTTGCAAATTGTAGGAAACTTAAACGCTATTTCTCTTCCTAACCTACACCTCCATTCAAGAACATGAAGTCTCACACGTTTGTATAGTGGTCCACAATTTACAAATAACTTTTTTCTACGTTGTGTATCACGAAATCCCCATAGGGTAGTATTAATTTCATTTTTTTAAAAAAAACTTTGTTAATGTCAGCATATTAAAAACCACTTTTGACTTGAGCATATTTAAAAACCTGATCCAATGTTTCCACAAGTACAAAATTTAAGAGGAAGGGCAATCACAAAATTTGATTGAATCTTCAACAATACCAGGCACTGGCTTCAATTTTATAACAGCGAGTAACTATATATTGGGCCCCTTTTCTCATCTGTAAAACAGGGGTAGCAATACTTTCTTCACACAATTGTTCTAAGAACAAAGGCTAAAGGGTGAACCTACCACGTTGTAGAGCCTAAAATAAATCCCTTTTCCTTCTTGCCTTTGAAAGACATAGCACGAGATAACACTATCATTCCCACTTCGTGCAGAAACCTGAAGTCAGGGACGCTCGGGTTCCCCTTCTCTGCAACTCCGCAACGCCTAAATCGAGTACAGGCAATTGCGATGTCCACTACGTTGGTTCCTGTAGCGCAGACTCTCCTGGTGTCTGGGTGGGTGTGTGTGTGGGGGGGTAGTCGGAAGCCGCCGATAACTGCTCCCATGACTCTGAGGAATCCGATCCTAATCCTCTACGTCGCTTCAGGGTCGAAGCTGCTTCCCTACCACCTCTAACCTCGCCTAGAATAAAAGTCGCCGCGAAGATACAGCGCTAACTACCGACGCCATTTTGACCACTACGTGTGACGCCACACGTAGCAGAGAGCGCTGCCGATTGGCTGGGAGACAGGCCAGGCGCGCGAAGCCTGAGAGGAGAGTTTGGAAGAGGCCAAGGAAACTACAATCCCAGTCTTCCTTGCGCGCGCGACAACTGACCGGGAGCGAGAGGAGATTTTGGATTCAGACCACAACTCCCAGCACCCACTGCGATGGTCTCGTTTCCTTTGAAAATGCCCCGGAAAAGAGGGACCAGGAGAATGGAGGCCTTCTGCCGTGCGTTCCCCGAAAGGCGGGAAAGGCGAACTACATCTCCCGACCGGCAGCGCGCAGCTGCGCCTGCGCCCTGATATCTGTCGCCATCTTGCCCCTTCTGAGGCACCGCAAACAAACCCAATTCCTGGTGTCCCCTAGTCTTGACGGAGGAACCTTTTAGATGAGCCCCGAAAGACCGGGCAGGTGGGTGACTCTCAGACAGGGTGCTGGGAAGAGCTGGCAGATTAGCTAGGCTTGAGGAGCGTCGGGCCAAGCCTTCGGAGCCCGGTTTGGGGCGCCTAGCCCCATCCTCCGTTGTCTCCTAACGGGATCGTTGGGCTCCCGAGGTGGGCTGAGGGGGACTCTGGCAGGCCTTATGATGGGATCCGTTGGGTCCAGCTCTGGGAGCCTCTTGGTGAGTCTCGGTCGTCTGCCGGGCTGTCCGGGCGCCCACTCTCTCTCCGTTGTCCTCTCCGCAGAGGAGGGAGCGAGGCGCTGATGCTGGCTGGGGCCCCGGACTCTGGCTACTGGTCCCTAAGGGCTGGGGTCGTAGGCTTGTCATTGGGGTCGGTGCCAAGCGGCAACGATAAGGAGGGTGGGCTAGCTGCTCTTGTGGTGCTGCGAGAATGCGTGTTTGGGGAGGGGGCGGGGCGGGCTTGTCTCTTTGACACATGAGTGGGGGAA